TGGATTGAGCAGGGAAGCCAGCCAAGAACAGAATGGGGAGGGGAGGGCATTGGGGGTAGGAAAGGAAGGATCATATCTCAAGAGCGGGTGAAGGAAGAGCAAGCAGCAGTGCAGAGCCCCCAGAGGAGAGGGCTTCAGGGAAGTGCTTGACAGAACCATTGCAGCAGTGAGACGGAAGCAGGACCAGGGCAGCAGCAGCAAAGGGCCTCTTAGATGGAAGGGCAAGAGGAGGTCATCTGGGACCTCCGAGAGAGCTGTTTCAAATGGGAGGAGAAAGCAGTGTTCTCCTGGTGGTGGTTCTAATCTTTTGTATTTGTAGTTCTTAGTCGTTGTCAAGGCCCTTTGCACTTTTTTGGGACAGTCTTGCTCTGTCACCAGGTGCCAGGCTGGAGTGCAGTGGTGCTATCTTGGCTCACTGCAACATCTGCTTCCCGGGTTCAAGCAATTCTCCTGCTTCAGCCTCCCGAACTGGGACTACAGGCATGCGCCACCACACCCAGTTAATTTTTGTATTTTAGTAGAGATGAGGTTTCATCATGTTGGCCAGGTTGGTCTCGATCTCCTGACCTTGTGATCCGCCCGCCTCAGCCTCCCAAAGTGCTGGGATTACAGGCATAAGCCATCGCGCCCCACTGGTCCTTCACACCCTGCATCATGCTCTCTCACCAGCCTGTTAGGCAGTGGGGGTGGCCCCATCATACAGCTGGGAAACTGAGGCAGAGCCTAGACAGCCTACCTAACCCATGCAGGGCAGGGAAGACTTGCTTCCTAAAGGAGAGTCTTCCTCAAGGGCAGAACAGACCTAGCCAGGTGAGGAAGGAGGCCAGCTGGAAGGGAATGGCCAAGACTTGGGGCACATGTTGAGAGCAAAGTACCTTTGACCTGGGGGAGCGGTGGGAGAGCAAGCTAGAGAGGGAAGCAAGCCTGGATCAAGATGACCTTGTACCAACAGGAGTTGGGACTTTTTCCAACAGTAGCAGGGAGTTTTAAAGATTTCTAACCATGGGATTAGGTATCAGGTTTGTAATCTAGAAAGATCAGTCTTGCTACAGACAGGGAAGGGGGCAAAGAGTGAAGCAAGGGACGCTCTTTAGAGACTGTTGCAATAATTCAGATGAGAAATGATGAGAGTTGCCAGGCTTGGTGGCTCACACCTGTAATCCTAGCACTTTGGAAGCCAAAATGGGAGGATCGCTTGAGGCCAGAAGTTTGAGACCAGCCTGGTCAACATAGCAAGATTCCCATCTCTTAAAAAAAAAGAGAGAGAGAGAGAGAATTGATGATAATGAATTAGGGAGATACTTAGGACTCAGATGGACAATACTTGGTTGCCAAACATGGTGGCTCAGACCTGTAATCCCAAAACTTTGAGAGGCTGAGGCAGAAGGATTGCTTGAGACAAGCCTAGGCAACATGGTGAGACCCCAGCTCTACAAAATTTTTTTTTTAGTGAGCCAGGTGTGGCGGTACACACCTCTAATCCCAGCTGCTTGGGAAGCTGATGTGGAAGGGTCACTTGAGCACAGGAGGTCGGGCTGCAGTGAGCTGTGATCATGCCACCGTATGCTGACCTGGGTGACAGAGCAAGACCCCATCTTAAAAACAAACAAATAAAAAAATACTTGGTTCATTTTGTACTTGGCTTATTTGGATCTTGGGGAATATTGAAGATGAAGGGATAACATCGGTGAGACTTAACTTCAAGGTCAAGACTCCTGTCCAGAGTCCACCCAGCCATAAGACAGGAAAGTGATAATAGAATCTGCCTCACTGTTGGCCTGGCAATGGGAGTTTGTTGATTAACCCTGAAGATGAACTCCTCCAGGTCAAGATCAAGGTTTCGGAATGAGCTGCTCTATAGATGTGAGAAACAGAGACAGACCTGGCCTTGCAGAAAGATTGCTGCAGCCTTTCTCCTACCATCTCCAGCACAAAGTGGTTTCTGGTTGCAGGAAGCCCTGGCTTGGCCTGTGTGGGACCCTTAGTGCTGTGAAGACTAGCAGCACCCTGGAGGTCTTTGTTCCTTCCACCCTTTCCTTAGTTTGCATCTCCCCACCTTGGGGAAAGCCTCCTGACAAATATATAAAATTGATCCAGTCCTGGATCAGTTTGGGTCATACAAGAGGGTGGTCAGTGTTGGCCCACGAGGACCCTGGGCCCTTTACTCGCCCTTTCGTCTTAGACTCTGAGCTCCCAGGTTTTGGCTGCCAAGCAAAAGGTGTAGTGCATCAGTTGTTGCTCTTCACCAGGGACCCAGAGCTTGCTCGGGGTGAGCTCACGGGCTATTTTCTTCTCTCTGCTTTGACTTGTGCTGATTTCTGCCCCCAGACCTGTTGCAGCATCTGCTTGGCTTCTGGGGCCAGAGCCTAGGTTTCAGCAGGCTGCCCATGGTTTACCCTCAGGATGAATGCTAGGAAGTTGGGGAGCACTGTGGTGGTGGTACAAGGTCAGCCCCTCATTTTAGTTTATTTTTATGTTAAAATGTTTGCTAATATAAAATAACACGTAGATCAGCGTTGTATGACAGAAAGGGACTGACTGGACTCAGGATCTTCTGTCCCAGCCCCAGGGGTGAAGGTGAAGGTGATTGTTTCCTGGATATCCTTCCTTCCACAGTTTTTCCTTGCACACTCTCATGTGCATGTGCTTTTTATCCTCTTCTCTTACCCGTGGCAGTGGGGAGCACGCTAAATCACTAAATTGCTTTGACACCTAGCTTTCTTTACTCTAGCATATCTTGGGAATCTTTCCACGTCAGCATATACAGATACATTGCATTCTGCTTTTTTTTAATTTTTGTTTTTTTGAGATGGAGTCTTGCTCTGTCTCCTAGGCTGGAGTGGAGTGGCATGATTTCTGCTCACTGCAACCTCCGCCTCCCAGGTTCAAGCGATTCTCCTGCCTCAGCCTCCTGAGCAGCTGGAATTACAGGTACCCACTACCACGCCTGGCTCATTTTTGTACTTTTGGTAGAGACAGGATTTCACCATGTTGGCCAGGCTAGTTTCAAACTCCTGACCTCAAATGATCCACCCACCTCAGCCTCCCAGAATGCTGAGATTACAGGCATGAGTCACTGTGCCCAGCTATTCTTTTTTTTTTTTTTTTTTTTTTTTGAGATGGAGTTTTGCTGTCGTTATCCAGGCTGGAGTGCAATGGTGTGATCTCAGCTCACCTCAACCTCTGCCTCCTGGGTTCAGGCAATTCTCCTGCCTCAGCCTCCTGAGTAGCTGGGATTACAGGCACGCGCCACCATGCCCAGCTAATTTTTTGTATTTTTAGTAGAGACGGGGTTTCACCATGTTGACCAAGATGGTCTCGATCTCTTGACCTCGTGATCCACCCGCCTTGGCCTCCCAAAGTGCTGGGATTACAGGCGTGAGCCACTTTTTGTTATATATATGATATATGTTAAGTGGACTGTGGCTTACAAAACTTCTTCACAGCTGTTTTCCAGTGTGATCCTTCTAGCCATGTGAAGAAGACAGACCAGAAGAAATTTTTTGCAGCTCAGGATACTCTGCAAACAAGGAATAAGTGAGAGGAGTTGGGGCTCGTTTAATGCAGACTAAAACAGGATCTTTCCTTTGAGAGACTGAGACAGAACTGGGAGCAGGCTGTAGATGTGCACACATATCTACCCAGAGGGAACATGCGAGGCAGCATCTGCAGAGGAGTGTGGTGGGCAGCACATGCCACAGGGGTGGGAATGGGAGAGCTTCCGGGAAGGGATGGAACTTGAGCCAAACCTTTTTTTTAGAAAAGAGGGGAGGCCGGGTGCAGTGGCTCACACCTGTAATCCCAGCACTTTGGAAGGCCAAGGTGTGCAGATCACTTGAGGTCCGGAGTTCAAGACCAGCCTGGGCAACATAGCAAAACCCTGTCTCTATTAAAATTACAAAAATTAGCTGGGCGTGATGGCACACACTTGTAATCCTAGCTACTCAGGAAGCTGAGGTGGGACAATCACTTGAACCTGGGATGTGGAGGTTGCAGGGAGCCAAGATCGCACCACTGCATTCCAGCCTGGGTGACTCTGTCTCAAAAAAAATAAGACTCCATCTCAAAATAAATAAATAAATAAAAGAGGAGAAGGTAGGAATGAGACGAAGGAAAAGGAGAGGAAGGCATTTCAGGCAGGAGAGGAACATGGGCAGAAGGTGTAAACACAGGGCAGGGGTCGGTGTCCTTGGACATGCTTCTACCACCCTGGCCTAAATTGACTTAGCAGACATCTAAATGCCTGCTCCGTGTCCAGCACTGTACAGGGCCACAAGGCAGCAGGAGCCTCTCTCCTGCCCTCTGTGGGCTCTTGATTCCAACCAGGAGAAACTAGATGGACAACAGCAGGCAAAACTAGTTGATGGTGATAGAGTTCAGAAGAGTGGTACAGCCTGGCACAGTGGCTCACACCTGTAATCCCAGCACTTGGGGAGGCTGAGGTGGGAGGATAGCTTGAGCCCAGGAGGCTGAGGCTGCAGTGAGTGGTAATCGGGCCACCACTTCATTCCAGCCTGGCCTGGGCAATAGAACATGACTCTGTCTCAAAACAAAACAAAACAAAACAAAATGCAGAATAGTTACTTATTGTGGGGATTGGCTGGGCAGGGGCACAAGGAACTTTCTGGGGTTCTGGAAATGTTTGCTGTCTTGACCTGGGTGATTGTTTTATTTTGGTTTTGGTTTTGGTTTTGGTTTTTTTTGAGATGGAGTTATCCCCCCAGCTAGATTGCAATGGAGTGATCTCAGCTCACTGCAACCTCCACCTCCCTGCTTCAAGCGATTCTCCTGCCTCAGTCTCCTGAGTAGCTGGGACTACATACAAGTGCCCGCTACCACACCCAGCTAACTTTTGTATTTTTAGTAGAGCTGGGGTTTCACCAGTTGGCCAGGCTGGTCTCAAACCCGTGACCCCAGGTGATCTGCCCGCCTTGGCCTCCCAAAGTGCTGGATTACAGTTATGAGCCACTGCACCTGGCTTGGTTGATGGTTTTATTTACTGTGAATATGTTTTTTATTAGTCATTTGGTTTACAATTGAAACTCTGGGAATTCAAAATTAACATCCTTGCCCATGAGCTTCTTATAGACACCAGAAAAAGTTTCAACCTTGTGTTCCACATTGTTCTGCTGTGCTTTGTCTAAATGAACCTTTATGAGCCGGCTGCCATCCAGTTTCATGCGGATTCTCTTGCTCACAATTTCACTTGGGAAGACCAGGTTCTCAAGGATTGCATCATGCACAGCTGTCAGTGTACAGCTCCTGGGATGCTTTTGTTTATTTTTTGTATGGCTTTTTCGAGTTGGCTTAAGCAGAATTCTCTGAGGGATAAAGACAACATGCTTCCCACTGAACTTTTTCTCCAATTCGTGTACTAGCTGGACTTGGATTTTCTGGAAAGATTTCAGTTGAGGAACAGGAACAAAGATTATGATAGCTTTCTGGCCACCACCAACTTCAGTTTCCTTGGCTGCCGTAATATTCAGCTCCCTGAGCTGAGCCTTGAGGTCCGAGTTCATCTCCAGCTCCAGAAGAGCCTGGGAGATGCCGGACTCGAACTCGTCTGGCTTCTCGCCTTTGGGCTTCACGATCTTGGCGCTCGAACTGAAAATGGCTTTCTCCTTGGTGAGCACCGACTTAGGAAAAGACCCAAATCTCGCGAGAGCATGTCAAAATCCCGGTTGATGGTTTTATGGTGGTATATAAATGTAAGAATTCATGGAGCTTATTATACTTAAGATAAATGCAGACTGCATACTCTAATCATGAGTATGTTATGCCCCACTTATAAATCCAGCAGGCAAATAATTAGCACATCCCCAAAATGAAGAAGTAAAATGCAATAGCAAGAAAATGTCCAAAGAGCTATGCCTGGGAAATAAAGAGACTCTAGGAGCACATTATAGGGAGGCTTATCTGAGACAGTGATTCTTTTTTTTTTTTTGAGATGAAGTCTCACTCTGTTGCCCAAGCTGGAGTGCAGTGGCACAATCTCTGCTCATGGCAACCTCCACCTCCCGGGTTCAAGTGATTCTCCTGACTCAGCCTCCTGAGCAGCTGGGACTACAAGCACGTGCCACCATGCCCAGCTAATTTTTGTATTTTTGGTAGAGACGGGGTTTCACTATGATGGCCAGGCTGGTCTTAAACTCCTGTCCACCCACCTCAGCCTCCCAAAGTGCTGAAATTATAGGCATGAGCCACCGTGCCTGGCCTGAGGCAGTGATATTTAAGCTGAGATTTGAAGGATGAGATAGGTGAAGTCAGGTTAAGAAGAGGGTGAGGTGTCCCAGTTGGAAGGAATGTCTTATGCTGAGACCCAAAGGTGGAGAGTGCCTGGTGTACTGGAAATGTCAGGGTGCGCAGAGCATGGAGTTTTAAAGGAGTGAGAGATGAGATTTCAGATCCTCACCCTCTTGCTGTGTTGTTTCTGCAGGCCCCTGGTGCCTTTCTTTGCCCTTCTCCACCCTTATAGTCATTTGAACCAGAGGGCAGAATCCTGGGCTTCAGAATTAAGTCCACGCACCTTAGTAACTAGGAATTCAAGGCTAGCCAGGTCCTGGCCCTTTATCTGTCCATCAGAGAGTGGGGTGCCCCAGCCAAGGGAGACAGCTCACCATTCCTAGATGTACCTTGCGTTCTCGGCTGCCTTGCCTGACTCACCTTGGCCTTCCCTGGGAGTGTCTTTTCTAGTTTTTGACCCAGCTAGAAGAAGGGCCATAACACCTACTCTAGAATCATCCCCGCTGCTCCCAAGTTGGAATATTTCTTCCTCCACAGTGGCCACTCTTATGTGGCCTCCAACACGCAGTTTGTATACTGACCTCTTCAAGGGCAGGCTGTGTTTTACTCCTTTTGTCATTTCTCCCCATAGGGGTCTAGGTCAGTGCTTTTGTACATGGTGCCTAAAACAGTTCCATAAATGGTATTTTATTTGAGTGAGGGCTCTCTGGCCAGAGCTAGGTGGAAGGTTGCCATGTGGGGGCAGGGGTCATAACAAAGGCTGACCATCAAGATGCTGCTGCTTCCAAATTCCCAACAGTTATTAACTTGCAGGATTCAGGAACAATGAATAGAAATTCCCTGGAATTCCCAAAATCATAAGTTATTCTATGTCTTTCCTAACACTCTATGAGGTTTGTTTTGTCATGTTTTTATTTTGGGATGGAGTCTTGCTCTGTCACCCAGGAGTGCTATGGTGGGATCTCAGCTCACTGCCACCTCTGCCTCCCAGGTTCAAGCGATTCTCCTGCCTCAGCCTCCAAAGTACCTGGGATTATAGGCATACGTCACTATGCCCAGCTGATTTTTGTATTTTTATTAGAGGCGGGGTTTTACCATGTTGTCCAGGCTGGTCTCGAACTCCTGACCTCAGGTAATCCACTTGCCTCGGCCTTCCAAAATGCTGGGATTACAGACATGAGCCACTATACCTGGCCCACTTTATGAGGTGTTTTTTGTTTGGTTGGTTTGGTTTTTTTTAAGACAGAGTCTTGCTTTGTGGCCCAGGCTAGAGTGCAATTGCGCAGTCTCGGCACGCTGCAACTTCTGCGTCCCAGGTTCAAGTGTTTCTCCTGCCTCAGACTACCAAGTAGCTGGGATTACAGGTGCCCTCCACCAGGCCTGGCTAATTTTTGTATTTTTAGTAGAGACGGGGTTTCACCATGTTGGCCAGGCTGGTCTCAAACTCCTGACCTCATGATCTGCCCACCTCGACCTTCCAAAGTGCTGGGATTACAGGCAAGAGCCACTGCGCCTAGTCCTTTATGAGTTTTTAAATAAGGAGTGGTCATAATAATAAATGGAATTACTTTTTTGTGATAAAATTTCAGAGGTGTTTCTGTTAAAAAAAAAAAAAGATATAACATTAAATGTGTGGTTTGGTGGTTTGGTTGGGCACAGTGGCACACACCTGTAATCCCAGCACTTTGGGAGGCCAAGGCAAGAGGATGGCTTGAGCCCAGGAGTTTGAGACCACCCTGATAACAGAGAAAGATTTTGTCTCTACTACAAATCAAAAAAATTGGCCAGCATGGTGGCATGTGCCTGCAGTCCCAGTTACTCAGGAGGCTGAGGCAGGAGGATCCCTAGAGCCCAGTAGTTCCAGGCTGCAGTGAGCTATGATAGCACCATTGCATTCCAGTCTGGGTGACAAAGCAAGACCCCCATCTCAAAAATTAAAATAATAAAAATAAAATAAATGCCTAGTTTATTGTTATTATGGACAAATGTATTGTGATAAGATTGTATATCTTTTGTTAGAATGTAAAAATGATCTCTACCTGATACAGACATTTGATAATAGAAAATGTGGAAGAGGAAGAAGCAGCTTCTCCGCTCCTTCTGGAATCTCTCCCTAGTTCAGCTCGCCTGCTTCCACTCCTGCCTCCACCATGTCCACCAGGGTGACCCATAAGTCCTACAAGGTGTCCACCTCTGGCCCCGGGGCCTTCAGCAGCCGCTCCTTAACGAGTGGGCCTAGTGCCCGCTTGAGCTTCTCCCGAGTGAGCAGTAGTGGCTTCCGGGGTGGCCTGGGTGCAGGCTATTTTGGGGCCAGCGGCATAGGCATGGGAGGCATCACCGCCATCACCATCAACCAGAGCCTGCTGAACCCCATTAAGGTGGATGTGGACCCCAACATCCAGGCCGTGCGTACCCAGGAGAAGGAGCAGATCAAGACTCTCAACAACAAGTTTGCTTCCTTCATCGACAAGGTGCGGTTCCTGGAGCAGCAGAACAAGATGCTGGAGACCAAGTGGAGCCTCCTGCAGCAGCAGAAAACGGCTAGGAGCAACATGGACAACATGTTTGAGAACTACATCAACAACCTGAGGCGGCAGCTGGAGACTCTGGGCCAGGAGAAGCTGAAGCTGGAGGCGGAGCTTGGCAACATGCAGGGGCTGGTGGAGGACTTCAAGAACAAGTATGAGGAAGAGATCAATAAGCGTACAGAGATGGAGAATGAATTTGTCCTCATCAAGAAGGATGTGGATGAAGCTTACATGAACAAGGTAGAGCTGGAGTCTCGCCTGGAAGGACTGACTGACGAGATCAACTTCCTCAGGCAGCTGTATGAAGAGGAGATCCGGGAGCTGCAGTCCCAGATCTCCGACACGTCTGTGGTGCTGTCCATGGACAACAGCCGCTCTCTGGACATGGATGGCATCATTGCCGAGGTCAAGGCGCAGTACGAGGAGATCGCCAACCGCAGCCGGGCTGAGGCGGAGAGCATATACCAGATCAAGTATGAGGAGTTGCAGATGCTGGCTGGGAAGCACGGGGATGACCTGCGGCGTACGAAGACTGAGATCTCCGAGATGAACCGGAACATCAGCCGGCTCCAGGCTGAGATCGAGGGCCTCAAAGGCCAGAGGGCTTCCCTGGAGGCTGCCATTAGAGATGCTGAGGATCGCGGGGAGCGGGCACTCAAGGATGCTCATGACAAGCAGAAGGAGCCGGAGGCCGCCCTGCAGCGGGCCAAGCAGGACATGGCAAAGCAGCTGCGTGAGTACCAGGAGCTGATGAATGTCAAACTGGCCCTGGACATCGAGATCGCCACCTACCGCAAGCTACTGGAGGGCGAGGAGAGCCGGCTGGAGTCCGGGATGCAGAACATGAGTATCCACACGAAGACCACCAGCGGCTATGCAGGTGGTCTGAGCTCTGCCTATGGGGGCCTCACAAGCCCCGGCCTCAGCTATGGCCTGGGCTCCAGCTTTGGCTCTGTCGCGGGCTCCAGCTCCATCAGCCGCACCAGCTCCATCAGCCGCACCAGCTCCACCAAGGCTGTGGTTGTGAAGAAGATTGAGACCCGCGATGGGAGGCTGGTGTCTGAGTCCTCTGACATCCTACCCAAGTGAACAGCTGCAACAGACCCTCCCAGCCTGCCCCTCCTGAGGCTGCCCCAGAGCCCAGGAGGGAGGTTGCTGTGCAGGGGAGCGCAGGGAACAGGAGACCCACCTGACGCTCAGCCCGAGCCCTCAGCCCACCGGCGCTCAGCCCTAGCCCTCAGCCCACCGGCGGGGAGTTTACTGCCTGGGGACCCCCCTTACTCATGCCTCCAGTTGCAAAACAATTCAATTGCTTTTTTTTTTTTGGTCCAAAATAAAATCTCAGCTAGCTCGGAAAAAAAAAAAAAAAAAGAAAATGTGGAAGAGGCTGGCCGCAGTAGCTCACACTGTAATCCCAACACTTTGATTTGCCAATTTCAAGGTCAGGCGTTCAAGACCATCCAGTCTGATCGACATGGTGAAACCCCGTCTCTACTAAAATTACAAAAATTAGCCAGATGTGGTGGCTCATGCCTGTAATCCCAGCTACTTCAGAGGCTGAGGCAAGAGAATTTGTTTGAACCCAGGAGGTGGAGGTTAGCCGAGATTGCATCATTGCACTCCAGCCTGGGCAATAAGAGCATAACTCTATCTTTAAAAAAAAAAATCATTGTCTTCAGGATGGGATTTGAAAAAGAAAATGTGGAAGAGAACATTAACACAAAATAAATGCCAAATAAAAATCACTTAATGATTTAAGAGTAATATTAACACATAGTTAATATTTAAGTTACTCTTGGCCTGGCGCAATGGCTCATGCCTGTAATCCCAGCACTTTGGGAGACTGTGGCAGGCAAATCACCTGAGGTCAGGAGTTTTGAGACCAGCTTGGGCAACATGGTAAAACCCCATTTCTACTAAAAATACAAAATTAGCCAGGTGTGGTGGCACACGCCTGTGATCCCAGCTACTCAGGAGGCTGAGGCAGGAGAATCACTTGAACCCAGGAGGTGGAGGTTGCGGTGAGCCAAAATCGTGCCATTGCACTCCAGCCTAGGCAACAAGAGCAAAACTCCTTCTCAAAAAAAAAAAAAGTTACTCTTAAAGATTAAAACTAGAGAAAAGTTAATAATACAATGAAATTCTGTACTTCCTTCACCAAGATTCGCCAGTTGCTAACGGTTTGGTACATTTGCTTAATGTCATGTCATAGATTATCCGCATTCCATATTTGTTGGATCGTTTCCTTGTGATTAGACTTGGGTTTATGTTGTTGGCGGGAACCCACATAGATGATGTGTGCTTCCTGTTGTGTACATCAGGAGGCACAGTGTTGCCAGTTGGCCCTAGTAAAGGTGATGCTAACTTGAGTCACCTGGTTAAGTTGGCATCTGTGAAGGCTACTTTTGTATTAAAGCAGTGAATTTCGGAAGGAACTTTTCACTGACTTTGGGAATTGCTGACAGCCATTTAGGAAAAGAGACCACTGTTTCTCTGTCACACGTACGTAGCTGCGGTTAAGAAACATCCTAGTACAGTCAGACGAGCTCTGGAGGCTGGTATGCCAGGGCCTGGGACCAAGCTCTATAGCCATCTCTCCCTGTGACCATAGCCAAGTTATCTCTGAGCTACGTGAGACTGTACATATAAGGAAATAGACACTCAGAGAAGGGAAGCAGTTTGCCCAAAGCTACTCAGCTAATGCATGGCAGGGCTAGGATTCAAACCCAAGCAAAAATGGGTTTGAATCCTAGCTCTGCCCTTGTCCTTATGCCAAGCCACCTCCTTTGTGAGGTGGCTGGTCGTTATTACTGTGGCACCGAGTACTCGGAAGTAGTGCTCAGAACAAAGCAGAAGAGCACCAAGCCTTATAGGCCCTGACCGGTGAGAGGGAAAAGAGAGGTGCCTTCCTTCATCCATCTGGGCTGCGCTTGGAATTCCTGGGCCAATTTGGGGATCCCAGGTATCAACCCTAACATGGGCTAGTGCCAGTGCCAGGTACATGTAGCCCGTGCTTCCGGGTCTGGGCAGGCGGAGGCTGGAATGGTGCCAGCAGCTCACCTCTGTAACACAGCATGGAAGCATTTATTTCAAGGGTGGCTCAGAGAAGTGAAGCAGTTTGCCCAAAGCAAACTGGTTCCTCCCCTGCATGTGGCAGGCTGTCCTGCAAGCTGGGAGGCGGGCTGTTGCACGTTCCCCAGCCACCCTTTAAATAAATGCTTCCATGCTGTGTTACAGAGGTGAGCTGCTGGCACTGTTACAGCCTCCGCCTGCCCAGACCGGGAAGTACAAGCTGCACATACCTGGCACTAGCCCATTTTAGGGTTGGTGCCTGGGATCCCCAGATTGGCACAGGAATTCTAAGGGCAGTCCAGACAGATGAACGAAAGTATTGCCTCAGCCTGCCTGGGTTCCTGGGGGGAGAGAGGGAGGCAGGAAGCATTAATGGGGGAAAGGTGTGCCAAGCCTTGCCAAGCAGGTCATTGTGGGTGGGGAGACACCGCCTACTTGCTCGGGACGCCCTAGGATTTGGGTGGAGGTTCTTGAGGAGGCACGAGAAAGGAGGGCTGTGACAGAGATTCTGGAGCACCCTAGTGGACTTCCGCTCTGGTGACCCACCAGCAGCCCACCTACCTCTCATCTTCCCAGTTAGCAGCCATCCCCAGGGCCAGTAGCACCTGAGCACTTGGTAAGTAGAAAGACCCAGTGTCTGTTGCCTGGTGTCCTTCCCCAGAGCAGCCGTTTTGGGAGAAACAATGGCTCTGGGTGAAGCAGGAAATGGTATTCCTTGTCAAGATTGTGTTGTCCTGTTGCTGGAGAACTGAGAGACCCTGAGGATCAGCCCTCTTAAGTTCTAGTTGTTGCTTCTCCTTGCATTATTCATCCTCATAGGCCTCCAGGAAGGGGACCAAATTCAGGGCCAGGGCCAGTGGCTTGGTGAGGCATAGGCTGTGCTGTATGGGCCCTGGGGGGAGCTCTGGGGAGTTCTTATTCACCTAGCTTATGGCCACCTTCAACCCTGCATCTTGGAGAGACCCCCGGGGCTCTGGCAGCCAAGTGGGCAGGAGCAGAGGGAGAGGCACCTTGGGAGGGAGAGCCCCAGAAGGAAACAAGGTTTATAGACAGACTCCTGATCACTGCTTGTAATGCTCGCTCAGTGAACAGTGGAAGTGCTTTACCTGATTCTTTCAAGAGAGCCCCTTCTCTCTCCTGCTGAATGAGGCTGAGATCCAGACTGGTTAGAAGCCTGACATGATCTGACATGTGAGACCTTACGCACCCTATATGAATTCCCCAAGTGTCATCAATAAATCACTCCAATTCTGGCATTTCCCCATCTTATCCCGCACACCCCTCCTTCTAGACTGAATCCTGAGGAGTGAGATTGCAGTTTTGACCCATGTTCTTTCTGAGAGGGAGCTGTAAAGCAGGTATAAAATCCAGAAGCTGCTGTCAGAATTATGTGAGAATTGGGAGGTGACATGGATCTTGAGGTAGGCTTCTTCAGCTTTTTCTGCTTCATCTTATTCTCTACAATCATTTGTATCATGCTTGTGAAACCTTTTTTTAAAAAAACTTGCTTACTAACACAGCACATGTTCATTTTAGAAAATGTAGAAAAATCAGATAAGCAGCCGGGTATGGTGGCTTATGCCTGTAATCTCAGCACTTTGGGAGGCTGAGGAGGGCAGATCACCTGAGGTCAGGAGTTCGAGACCAAACTGGCCAACATGGCAAAACCCCATCTCTACTAAAAATACAAAAGTTAGCAGGCGTGCTGGTGCGTACCTGTAGTCCCAGCTACCTGGGAGGCTGAGGTGAGAGAATATCTTGAACCCAGGAGGCAGTAGTTCCAGTGAGCCGAGATCTTGCCACTGCACTCAACCTGGGTGACAGAGCGAGACCCTGTCCCAGAAAAAAGAAAAAAAATCAGATAAGCAATAAAAAAAGAAATAGAAATGACCCCTAAGAGGTAACATTTTGGTATAATACAAGTCTTTTACATTTGCTCCCTCATCTGAGCATTTTCACTGCCATTAAGGAAGGCACATGGTTATTAGTCCCATCTCACAGATAGAAAGCCTGAGCCACAGAGACAGTAGCAGGTTGCCCAGGGGAACACAGCATAGCAAAGACAGAGCTGGGGCATACCTATCATATAATTTAGTACTAATGCTCTCTCCACTATAGCCCAGTCACTATCTTTGCACTCCCAAATTGGATTTCAGATTTTTTCTGCTTCATCTTATTCATTTGTATTATGCTTGTAAAACCTTTTTTTAAAAACTTGCTTACTAAAGTAAGCTGCCTTATCCAAAGGTTTAATAGACAGTTGGAAAGCTCCTGACTGACTTAGGAAAAGAGGTAGAAAACACACTCTTCAGGTTTACAGATGATATAAGGAATTGTTTGCACTTTAGAGTACAGGATAGGGCTTAGAAAACTGTCCAAGAGCTCCAACGACAGGTCAGGAACAACAGGATAACCTTTGGAAGGGGTGGGTGTGAAGGGGCCCCCTCCTATTTCCAGAGCACAGGAAGGCCTGATTCGATGTTTGAGCAGTGGCGACTGGTCTGCCTGGGAATCCTAGTGGACTATAAGCAGTAGGACATGTCGTTTTAACACTTGGGCTTCATCTTACTTCCTGGGAGTGTTAGGAGCTATACATCAAGAGGACGTGATGAACTAAGGAAGAGGGTTTGGGATCCTGTCAATTGCCAAATGCGGTGACTGAGAGATTTCACCTAGAGAAGATAGGTTTGGGGAGGAAAAGGTGCAGACCGAGACTTGGTGACCAGGGGCCAGGCAGGACGGGACCAGGAATGGCAGTTAGTTGAAGGGAGAGTCTAATTGGTCAGGATGCAGAACAGCTTTTTGGCATTAGAGTTCAGGAATGGCAGTGAGAGGCAGTACAGTGGAGTGGTGGAGAGCTCTTCCTCTCATGGCTCACTGGCTCCTGACTCCTGGCTCCTAGAGTCTTGAAGTTAGCTCACTCTTCCACACTCCAATTTTCTCATCTGTAAATGGGGATGATAATGATACCTGCCTTATAGTCCACTTGTAAAACCTAAAGGAGTGATCCATGAAATCAGCTTAGAACAATGCCTGGCACATGGAGGTGCTATGCCCTGTTTGATTCACACAGAAGCTGGGTACGCTCCATGTAAGAAGAGTTGTAGCAGGTCTTCTGCATGCATTTGGTGTGGCCTGCTTCCCCAGCATTTGCCATTCCCTGCCTCCCTGTCTCCTTGTTTCTTTCTCTATCTTCCTCTCCTGGGCCTATGATCCTATATTTCCCCTACCTAGAATACCCTACCCCTCAATCTTTATTTTCTTCTTTGAAACTCTTAAGTGTTTTATTTCTTTTTCTTTAAATTTGTTTTTTTACTGAAAAATGAGACGGGGTCTTGCTGTGTTGCCCAGGCTGGTCTGGAACTACTGGGCTCAAGCAGTCCTCCCATCTCAACCTCCCTGCCCAGCTGCTATGCCCAGCAGTATTTTCTGTAATTAGCATAGTGTACTTTTCAGATTATTTTGGTGACTTAACTCTTGACCTTGAACCTTCCCTGAGGCCTCCAGAGGCAATTTCCTCCTTCTTAGGACTCAGCTGCCCTTCACTCTTCCCTCAGTATAGGCAGTTTTAAAGGCACCCAGGGATTTGTCATCATCTCCCCACCCCACCCTGGGTCTGACCTAGGACTCTGAATCAGGGAGACCTCTCTCCATTGAGTAATAATAGTAGC